GGTCGCTAAGGCAGCAGTACCCCTGCACTGCCGCATGATCACACTTGTACACCTGAACACTTTTTGACTGGTTGCTACAGTCATTGAAAGAGGCAGATTTCAGACTTCGTAAGAAACATTCCTCTGCCTGAATCCTTAAGCATAGCGCCAAACATACACCTTTCCCAAAGAGGACGAGATTCAATCTCAAGGTCGAGTCTTGACTTATTCGGGCACTAACTTCCATTGTTGCTATCTAGACCTGATGCAAGGCTGACGATCATCTGGGAAATTAACTTGCTCGAGCCCCAAGCCTGCACAGCGCATTATCACCAATCAGAAGGCCCTAAATTCTGAGCAATCAGAGATAGCCAGACCAACGGGATATGTCTTGGTTCTTAGTGGGGATTCACTGGTCAATGATTGGTTCTTTTGAGATGTTACAGCCGCAGGCTGTGCATAGCAAGTGGTCGTGTCTTGATACTCGTCGCCATGGGCCGCCCCACACCAAGATGGTATGGGTCGGCTACAGCTCAACGCAACGCTTCCCCTCAACGTAAAATAAATCAATTCTTCTGAATAGGTTCAAACTTCCTAGATTTTATCAACCCAACCACCATGTCTTCTCAATATAAATCAGAGGAATCGAAAATAGAGGAGGCGATCTATGCTTTCCACGAAAAACGACGCGAAAATCCCAAGATTTCGATGACCAAATTTGCGAGAGGAATTCGGCGTGCCCTACCATCGGTTTTATCATCGGTTACAAGGAAGAGACTCACGAAGCACCCGAAAACGCATCAATATACGCCTGGATGACGTGCAATATAGGGTCCTTTTTGATCATATCGACTCGTACGACCGTATCGGCGCCCCCCTTGCCCCTGCGTTGATCCAAGAAGTGGCGGGATCGATTCTCTAGCATAGTTCTGATCCAGCAGAACCACCCCTGAAGCTATCACGGAACTGGGTCTACTGCTTTATGAGGCAGAATCCAGATTATCAGAAGACAAAGCGACAGATTAAAGAGCTTCAGCGAGCGCATGCGGAAGATCCAGATGTCATACTAGGGTGGTATGGATATCTACAGGTTCAGATTGAGGCGAAGGGAATACTAGACACGGATATATACAATATGGATGAAACTGGCTTCCGATCGGGCAGGGAAGGGTAGAGACAGTCTTTACTCGCTATCCGCATCAAGATACTACCCTTGCTGGCGGGTCAAGCAGGCAGTTGATCACCTCTGTAGAGTGTATATCCAAAGATGGATATGTGCTTCCTCCTATACTAATCATCCCTAGAGTGGTATACCTTCAAGATTGGTTCCAGAAGACTCAGATTCCTAGAGATTATATCATCCAGACATCTCCTTATGGCAATATCAGTGGAAAGATAGCCTACCACTGGATTCATCATTTTGATGCCTTTACGAAGAGGCGACAGCAAGGTCGATACCATCTCCTAATCATGGATCAACATAAGGCTCATCTAACCTACGAGCTGCTAAGATATTGTGAAGAACAGGAGATTCTTGTTATGCCACTTCCTGCTCATCTTACTCACTATCTTCAGCCTCTAGATTCTATTCCATTTCAGCAGCTAAAGAAGAATCATGCCTCCGCAGTCAATCAGCTATCTCAAATCGCCGGCCAGGAGTACGATAAGGTTCAATTTCTCTATAATATTCGCTATATCTGGGAGATGACATTCAAACCACCTATTATACAAGCGGGCTGGCGAGAGACTGGAATGCAGCCATGGAACTCCGAATACGTACTGAAAAAGATGGGATGGAATGGTGACGATTCTCTGAAGATATATAATGGGGAATCAGTCTTAGATAAACATCCTTCTGTGGCTTCTACTATGGCATCTCCAGTAGTACAAGCCACGGAAGGATGCCATCTAGGGACTGATACTGAAGGAATCAGCAAAGGAAGCTATCCAGGGACCCCTACAGCTTCGCGGACCCAGCTTATCCCTAAAACCCCTATCACCACTCATTCAACGCGTAAACTAGCTGAATCTATCCGTGCTGCTCAGCCTGATCTATCTCCTTTGATCCAATGATTATTCCGTGGCGCCCTATTCCAATCCGAATTGCTATCTCTTCATAAGAAGCGCTGGGAAGAGGAGCTTGCGGAGAAGCAGAAGCCTACCAGCGCGAAGAGATCTAAGGAGCGGGTTAAAATGGCATCTTTTATCTACGCCCAGGATGTCAAAGATCACCTAGATGCTCAAGAAGCAAAGGAAGTTGAAGATATCTGGCAGCAAACAAGAATTCGGCACGGAAGGGACCTCCAGGGACTGGTTGACGCGGTAGAAAGAGAACGCGTTTCTCCCTCCCCAACGCTCTATCTTTCAGAAGAACCCGTGTTTTGTAGTATCACCTGGATAGACGAATCTGTCAATATCGTTCAAAATTAAATTTAACCGCGTGTTTGGTTGATATCTACGTTTGAATAGCTTCAAATTCGATTTTTTTACGTTGAGGGGAAGCGTTGCGTTGAGCTGTAGCCGTGCTGGCCATACGTTGGTTAGTGTTTATCCTGTTTAGGTCTAGGGTGGTAGAGATGGGTGATGTGCTTGGTTGATGGTGAGTCTCCACTTCGTCGCCGGTAGACCACACTCCGCCCCCACCCTGTCCTCCCATGTTGCCTCAACAGTCGGTGCGTCCTGCCGGATGGTGCCCTTAGAGCGTGAAGGATCTCAATGGAAAGGCGGACCCAAGGCTCAAGCCAGCTCTGGCCTGTAAGGAAAGGCAATTAGCCGTCTCTAGTAAGCAGACCAACACGCCCGAAGGGCGGGTGGGGCTGCTTCACCTCAACGATAATTTTCATCTCAATGATAAAATTGAAGCTATTCAAGCTATTATACAACCTCGCCTTGCGAATCTATCCAAAACAACTGCTTAGAACCTTCATTATCCACCTGACTACCTTCCTGGCTAGGTAGAATCTCCGTATCTGCTTGCGGGGTTGAGATATTGCATTCTGAAGTTCGCATCTTCTTAAGCCGCCGAAGTTCTTGATGTCTTTCCTCCTCATTCCTATACTGAATACGGCGTTTGGCATTGTGTACAGTCAAAGGTCCTGTATATTGGATCCTTCTCTGTGATTTTCTTTTGAATTGAGGCTTTCGATGTTGAAGGTGGAGCTCTAGGTCCTTTCGAAGTTGGCCAGCTAATTCGGTTGTTTCTAAAGAGCTTTTAAACACGCGATCAAGACGTCGTACAGAGCTCTGATCAAGCTCTGGGCTATTGTCAATATAATCCTGTACTTTTCCAATACTTCGATGAAGCCCTCGTATTGTAGATGAAGGCGAGGAACTAGATGGCGGCGGCGGGGTAGTAAGAAAGTCGATTTCAGGCGTAGGGTCTCTAGCCTCGCGCAGAGGCCCTAAAATCTCTTCAGAATTGAATGGATAGATTCCTCGTTTTCTGAAGGCATCGCGAATTGTACGAGCTTTGAAGGTTTTCTCGCATACTGCAGGAATCTCTCGTAAAAAATCGCTTTTATCGTCAGTTTCCACACCTATCTGAGCAAGGTAATTGTTCCGCTGGCGATAGTAGTGTTTATACACCTGGAATGGCTGACCATCAAGCGGTTGAATAAGATGCGTCGTATGAGAAAGAAAGCAATAAGGAATTATATAGTTTTGACCGCAGAACTGAAGAAATTCATACGTTAGATGAGATCCGTGGCCATCAAAAAGTAGTAGACGGGGCTCATTTTTTCGCTGAAGACGATGTTTTGTATGGCAATCAAAATGATGAATCCAGTCAAGGCCAATTGAATCAGTAGAATAACCTTTAGGCGACACAGCTATACGGTATTCGCCAGGAATATCTGAATCGTACCATCGCTCCATGTGTACGACGCCTTTGAAGATGACATATGGCGGTATAGTAGACCCATCTGCAGCAACACATTCAATTGCAGAAACCAATTCTCCTACTTCTCCTGATGGATTGCCTCTTAAGGCCTGATTAGGCCTTGTTGTAACCACTTTTTGAGCCTTTCCTTGGCCTAATTGAAAGCCAGTTTCGTCAAAATTATAGATATTTCGAGGCGGAATCTGCGAGATGAACCCCTCTAAAACATCGTACCAATGTTGAATTAGACCAAGATCCTCTGCATTTAGGCGTTTTTTCTCCTTTGGTTTCTGCTTGACCAACGTGAATTCGTCTGGTAGGCGTTTAATAAAGCGATAGACCCAGGCGTTGCCAACTGTACGCGGTGCCTTGTTCTCCGTGCCTTCCGCATTCCGCTGAAGAATTGAATTCGCAGTACGTTTAATCATTGCAGGAGTAGGCGGAGTATGCAGAGAACCTAACTGTTGAATCCAACGAATTAGGGCCTTTTCTTGCGCATCGTCAAGCGCTTTCGCTGGAGTAGGACGTAAAGATCGAGTTGCTCGTCCCTTAAGACGTGCCCGAAGCCGCTGGTAAGGAACACTAAATTGACGCGATAACGCGCTGATATTCGGATTTTTGACGCGTCTAGCGGCTTCGCAGGTTTCAGACATGCGATCCTCAATTTCAGAATAAGAATCCAGCTTTATAGTGGTGAGTAGTAGGTCGAATATTATCGTTGAGGTGAAGGGGCGCTGCTGATAACACTTAGCTTAAAAATGGAAGTCCCTAGATGATCCAGCATGAGCGTGACCGAAAGTCACTTGAAAAATTGTGCAACGCGTAAAAGAAGCAAAAACCAAAAGCAAAAAAAAGGTGATAGCTTTCATCAGTCATCTGCATGACGCGACCAAGACTCACACGTTATTTCTCGCCTTTGTAGGGCCAGAAAACCTTGTGCCTACATTCATATTATACCCGCCTCATTGATCTAAGTCTATTCCTTGACCCCACATGGATTGTCTTGTGGTGCGACTCTCCCGGCTCTGAGGAAGATCCCTCTTCTCTTGGATCCCCTAACCCGCCGCCTCCCTGTGCAAGTAGTGAGCATGAGGATGAACCTGGGGCAACCTGTTTCATGGCGACCCGTGAGCCTGAGTCCGACATGGAGGATGGACTGTTGCCCAGCGACATCAATCTCTTCCCAGAGGATGCTGAGGATGTTGATCCCACTTCTGCGTATTCCTGGCGGATTAACCATCAAATAGGAGATCATAAGGTAAAAAGTCCGTCTGCTCCCGCACCCCCTCACCCTTTTTCTACTTACGTGGATGTTGACCGGCCGGTAGTCCAGGACTTTCTTGCCAAGTTGTCCATCCTGATTTCAACGCCCGCCAGGCTCTCGCAATGCTCCATAAGCGATATACAGTAGACTACGGCAGCTCGCACGGCTCAGACCCGCGATGAGTTCTATTCCATGTTCTTTCTCGACTATCTTGGCATCATTGGGCGTCCACTCCAGCCCCTGACACGGCCTAGTGAGCGGTTCTTTGACAATATCACCATTGGTTTCCGGTCCTGGCGTGCTCCGTATACGGCAAGCAGCTGCACCACCTCCTCCCATTTTCCCTTGAACATCGCACATTCCGGATTGCGTCGGCCGCGAGCCGGGACACCTGGTATCTCATGATGCATCTAATCATGCCACGGGTGGAGGAGCTCCCTGATTCCCGGCGTGAAGCCCAGGCGCGACAGGAGGCCGCCTCCCAGCGCAGTGCGCTGCAGGTGCATCACGCCGAGGCACCGGCCTCCTACATCAAGACAATCTCCCTGACCGGAAAGTTGCTGGGAGGGGGATCGAACCCTCCTGGCAGTTAGATGGACCCAGCACGCAAACAATCACGCTTAACAAATGGACCACCATTCAGCATGAATTCATGGCGTGGTGGGATGAACATGTGCAGGCCCATTCATACAATCCCTTCTGGACCAAGAACCAGCCGGCCTTCCACGCGTATGACTTTGGCGCCTACGTTTAGATCAAGGTGACGGATGAACTACAGTCCCTCAGTCAGGAGAGTCGCCTGGGCCCAGACTTCGAATCTGACTCTGGGTCTGACTCCCATTCCTCCCCGGCTCACCCCCTTCCGAACGCAGGGCCGGTGCCCCCACCTGATGGGATCCCTCTCTCCGGCCTCTATCCTCCTGGGCTGCAGGAGCTGCTGACGGAGCTGGAACATAAATAAATCCTGGACCACATTGGGTACGTTTCGTACGCCCTGCCCCGCACGGAGGGGGAGAGCATTCCAGCCCGGATTCGACCCCGGCAGACCCGACTGCTGGAGCAACCGGCGGGCCAGCGCAGCCCCCAGGACCCGTCCGTGTCAAAGTCATTTGCTCAGGAGCGGCGGCGGATTGAGCAGGAGATTACAACGCACGAGGTGGCATACCGGATGGAGCAGGTGCTCTCCATGGATGTGAGTGAGCTCCTCCCAGCGCACCGCCAGTTCCGCACGGTGGTGCAGCCGATTTTCCAGCTGATGCAGTTCTTCCTCCGGAAAAGCCAGTCGTATCTGCACCTCCTCTGGCTGTTTCGGCCGGCGGTCTTCCCTGGGGTGTTGGGGGCGTTTGCGCAGATGGTGGAAGTGGTCACGGACGAGATGCTCGGACGATTTCAGTCCCGCGGATCATGCGGTCTTGGGTTGGCCCTATCAGAAGGAATGGCGGTGCTGGACGGCTGGGACTGTACTGCTTCACTGGGACGGCCATGGCGCTGATGCTGTCCATGCTGCGTCCCCTGGGGACAATGGACAGCCTTGTGCACGGTGGGTGGCCGTATGTGCCGCCACAGCTGCTCGGCCTCCGGACGGGGGATGGAATCCTGCACCACGGCCGGTGGCCGCGCAGCCATACTGGACGGCCGATCCTGCTCCACGCGGCAGGACTGGCGTTGCATTACGGAGCGGATGTGGCGATGGCGCGGCACAGTCTTCTGTGGTTCCAGGAATTCAGCATCGGGGCATCCAGGGACCGCACGGGGCGACGGAGTTTCTTAAGGAAGTTTTCTGGGACTTGTGGATCCCCCAGAGCGGGAGTTTGTCCGGCATCAGCTGCTCCCTCGGCTGCCCCAGGGACGGTGTCCCTGACCCAGCAGCACTGGGGGCTGGTGAGCAGCAGGCAGTGATTACATCCTGGGCGGAGTGTCCAAACCCATTTTTCTAGCAGTATGGCTTCTCCCTGGTGTCTTCTTGCACCTCCCTCCTCCCCCCCGCCCTTCTTTCACTCTTTCCATGACGGTGGACTGACCTCTCTAGATCCTATCAGACCCTCCTCCCACTCGTGGGAACGTCAGCAGAGCTACAGGTGCGGGTGACTCACCAAGGGCGGCAGGATTTCGCGCGTGAGCTGTACCATGGACAATCGGGGCGCGGCAGGCGTGGTCGTCCGTGCACTCCACATGGTTCACCGTGCTGCACACGGCATTCCAGTTGATCTCCACTAAGGTCGTGACGGCTGGGCAGCCTCAAACCGGCGGCGATCGAAGCAGCGGACCGGGCAGGGCGGCCGGTGAAACGGCAGGTGATGGGCTCAGGGTGCGCGATTCCGTTCCAACAGGTTTGGGGGATTTTCCGGGAGAAATTCGCGCAGCAGATGCGGATGTTCGAGCGAGGGAACCGGCAGGTGCTGGAGGACTACCAGGTGGCGCTTAACTGCCGGGAGGCGATGGGGGATCCGCTCTGGGATGTGCTGCTGCTGTTGGTGCTACTAGACGGCTCTCGCAGACCTGGTCGGCGTCTCACGTATGGCCGCCACCACCCCCAAGTCCGGGCACCGCTTCGGCCTCGCCGGTCTCCCCTAGACGTCCAACCTGGATGGTCTGGGTATCGTTCGGTCCGTCCCGTCGAGCTGCATCGTGGCGGATTGCAGACCCCGCCCATCCCCCTTCCGTAAGTCCTGAAAACATTCGCTCTGAATTCATCTTCTTTCGCAGTTTGACGCCTTGAATCTCTTTATTGCAGCGTTTACTATTTTATGTACTGATTTGAAATGCAGGAACAGGGTCAAGTCTTCCCACCGCGCGTCATTGGGTCAGGCAGCAACAGCTCAAGAATGTTGTGCGAAGAGGAGGTACTTCCCCCGAATCAACTGAGGAATAAAACTAATTACTCTGAGTTGCAGTGTATTCCATGGCTACCACCCCTGCTCGATTCATCTTCTGCCAATCTCTTCCCTTCCTCAGCTATGCCCTTACCTTCGCTAGCCACTGCTGCCTCTCCTCGCGCCCCATACTATACTGAAGGACATGAGAGACCTAACACTGACCCCAATCTCTGTCCATTCTGTCAGATACCCAGCGAGCTTACTACTTCTGTCCGCTATGGATAGTCCATTCCTTCTACATTCAAGGACTAAGAGGCCTTACTTAGCTGCATCAACTTCGGTCACCTTAGACATGAGCATTGTGAAACAGGGACTTTCCTGGAGCCAACAGCTGACGAGCAGTCGGGGTGGCCTATTCTTGATGATCATTCACAAAGCAACACACATGTCCTACTGACTCTTGAAGAGCCTTCTAAATCCCCGTCATGTAATCCTGCAATTCATAGTGACATGATCCACAGTTATATGACTTGATCAAACATAATTCATATTAGCGTTATCCATAAATCCAGTAAAGAAAATTTGACCATCGATCAGTGGTTTCATAGTTATTGGGCAGAGATGATATTCTTACCATTATTTGAACTCATCTTATACACTAACCCATTTGTTTCTTTAACTGCTAATGGTTTATATCTCATATGATAATCTCAATATGTATGATAATTTCTAAGCCAAAGTAGATATGGCTATATAGTCAATTAATTGAGTCTGACATGATTCTATGAATCAAATGATGAAGAACTTGTTAAATTCCTTTTGTATAATAGCCTATTACTATCATTGTAGAGTACAAGTGTATGGCTCAAAGTTTAAGTAAATGTTTGACACAAAAGGCCTCTCGCGTCACATTGAAGTGCCTGACCAGCATTGATCGGCAACTGAAGCTAATTTCGGTCCACAAGAAATGGCATTAATTAAGTCACTTCGTCAAAGTTGGGCTGCTGACGAAGATTTAATGGTCATCCAAGATGCCTAGATTTCGACAACCACATCATGGTCGGAGAGGTGGAGCTGCAGTGCGCTCTCTCCCTAGATAACTTACCCAATCTTCGTGACGCCGGAGGAACAGCGAGCTTTCAAATTGGTAGAAGTGGATATACGAATCGCCAAAGTCGTGTCATGGTATTCTTGGGCATTCCGGATAGGAGCTTCAAAAGGGAAATTGGTTGGTTTCTTAAGCCGAGCAAATAATTGATATCTATTGACTTAAGAAAATAATGGAAGGATTTGGTCTCAATTCTATGCCTTCACCCGACCGATTGAGAGGTGCTAATCTTGTTCAGGCTCAAAGGGTTTGAGCCCTGATATGATCAAAAGATGTTAAGCTTATCTCCCTGGAATCTCTCTAGACATAATCATTTAGAGGCGCTACTGGCAATTTCAGCAGGATTAGGTGGCTTTTAAAGCAAAGTGAAGCAACAGGAATCAATACAAAAGGGCAAAAGAAGCTGGCCCGAGCCAGATGTTTCCCCATGTACTGTGTTGCAGTGCATAATACACTGAACATCTGCATGGAGTACTTCGGGATAAACCGCAAGAATCAAACCGAAGGCGAGGGCGTGCTCTCGTAGCCCTTTTATGACCATATTGAACGATTAGGGGCCTCAGGATCAATATCTGCGTGCCAATCCGCGTCATGCTTGACTAAGTCTGGATACCACTCCTATAGGATTTTGCTACCAGTCCAGTCATGCCCTCTTCTGAAAGCCTCCCTGACAGCAGACAGAAAGACGCTCAGACTCATGGCCCTACTAATCACATAATGAAGGTCATTCTCGACCAAACGTCCTCAGCAGAATAATAATAGGCCAGGTAATTCGGCTCGTAAGGCACTGAAACTGTAAGGTCTGGTGAAGCTTCATTGCCACTAAAAATTTGCATGTCAGCCTCCAGCAGCACCAGATGAAGACCCCAAAGCAGCATGATTCCACTATCACTTTGTTTCACTGTCCTTACGCAGTTTCCAATTCTCCCATCACGTACAGCGGCGCCAGAAATACCTTTAATCTTGCCCACTGGCTGGTGAATAACTCCCAATGGGACATCAACCTGAAACGTTGTAAAGGCCAATGTGAGATCGCAGCCGAGCGACAAGAGCTTCACTCTGACTTGTGGCAAATTTTTTTCCCCATGTCAATCTGCGTTGACCTCACTTATCTGGATTTAAAGTTCCCGCAATATACAGGACATTAACAGTTCCTTCGATTCCCAACCACGGCGCTAAGCGATATTGGCTTAACTAGGTCCCCATTTCTGATATTTCACGTGCCTGATAGAGTCGAGATTGTCCACAGTCCTTCATTTTGGGGAGATGGCATCCGTCTGCATTTGCAGCCATGTCAGGTGAAGCACCGCAGTAGAGAGAATTTGGCACAATGGCCGTACTATTGTGAGAGTGCGGCGAATACTTTCAGGGCAGTACTTGATTAGCTACGTGAGAGAAGAGGTGCTGGGGAGTACATTGCATGTAATGCACAGGAAAGATACATAGGACCTTACAGCCCCTTAACCCATACAAAGCCCCCCATGGATGCTGTCATGTCAAGCACGAAACAACTAAAATAAAAAACATGGCCTCTCTCGAATGCCGTATGGCTATCACTTCCTTTTCTTGTTACCTCTGGTGTCGAACGAAGTCGCCTACTCCAACAGCCGGATATGACCCGCAGCCTTACGAATATCCACGGGAGATAGCCATCCACACCCCGCCCGCTTCCGAAGATGAAGAAAGAACGGCATCCCAGGAGCTCCAAATTATACAATTCGATCCATTCAAGAATCATCCCCGGACTCGGCCAAATACTGAGAGATGGAAGAAAGAGCTCGATGACCTTATTGGACAGGTGTGTGATATCAACAACTTGGAATTGAGGCGGAAAGAGCTGGGACTCGGGGATAACCAAGCAGTCATAACTAGCCTAATAAAAGGGGTTTCGTCGTTCACTGATAATCACCCTAACACAAATGGATGTTTGCTTTCAGATTCCAGCCTTCTTTGCACTCTTTCTGACTATGCTCAATTCACAAAGAAGTCCACAGATGTGCTCTCATGCCTGGCACATTTCCGGGATCTTGTTTTTGTGTCATTCTGCGACGTCGTTCTTGGGTCTGGCGAAGAAAAAGACAAAGTCCACGGCACAATGCGACAGTACATTTCAGACTCGAGCGGGCAAAATCTTGATAAAATCATATTTGGTTCCTGATGGTTCAATAGATGCATCGCGAATCTATCTAAAACATACTGGGGCTTATGCACGTGACTTTGGTTCCGCTCAAGTGGGGCAAGAAGGCAGATCTGCTTCTTTGACGCTAGACCGGATTTGATCAATATCGGGCAACTACCAAAAGTTCTCTAAGAGTGGAGGGGTCGTGGAATTCTCTCTAAGATCCTTCTCTAGGGGGCTGACAGGCGTCGGTAAGACGTTTACAGTTGAAGCAATAGCAGAGTGGTTCAAGCTCCCTCTTTACTCGGTAAGAAATCAGTGCCGATCTCAATTATTATCAACTAAGGCGTCTAGATATCGGCCGGTGAATTGATCGTCGATCATGGGGACCTCTACGCGCTGGAATACCAGCTTGATATGATATTCAAGGTGGCGAAGCATTTTAATGCAGTTATCCTCTTCGACGAGGCTGATGCGTTTATGGAACGGCGCACCTCTTACCTTGATGCCTATAATCGTCTTCTGACCGTTCTTCTTCGGAAATTGGAATACTACGAGGGCATCCTTTTTCTCACATCAAATCGCGCCATTGAGTTTGACGATGCGGTTCTGAGCCGAATCCATCTTAAGATCAAATACGAAGATCTGACAGAAGAATCTCGCAAGGAGGTCTGGAGACATTTCACCTCCAAAGCTTGTACACCAAAAGGTCCCAGCATCATCAATGATGATGACCTTTGCCGTTTGGGGCACATTGCTTTGAATGGACGAGAGGTAAGAAGACAGTCACACGCATCTAATCTCACCTAGTAACCAAGGCAAATTAGATCAAAAATCTTACTTCCATCGCGCACGCACTGGCTACCGTTGACAGGAAACAAATGAGTTATGAACACCTGGAATTGGCGGCAAAGTCGACCGAGAAATTTGAGACTGAGTTTAGTAAGCCAGCGCATCTGGATATGTACACATAGTTGTCGTGCAGATTAATTTGTAAGCAAATCTGGTCATTGACGAAAGAGTTGGTCGCCTCCGCAGGGGGGGTTGGTTGCCCTCCTCCGGCATGCATTTCAAATTCATCAATTTTTCAAGGTAACTGGACTTCAAGGAAGAATCTCAATGAACTTTGTAGCTGTATTGCGATCGATGTTGACATTCGCGTTGATGGTCGGTTCAAATTCGAAGACCAAGGGTGCAACTTGTTCTTCCTTTTCCGCATCTGCATGTTCCCGTTCTTCTGCTAATAGTCGGACGCCCAGTCGATCACCTCAATGTCTGTGTTCATCCTCATGGGGATCATAATGCCGTCCCCATGCTGGTGATTTTGTGCGTGATCATGCTCATGTTCCCCAAGAGGATCGAGCCCAAGGTTGAGTCGATGTTCGTGTCCAGCATCACGTCGGGCTCCGGGTCCCTTATCACGCTTGAGCCCCCTGACGTCCACATGGCCGCGGTGTCAAAGCCGAGAGGGTACATGACGTCGAGTCCCTCTCCATGACCGCCTTGACGTTCCACACTCAGGAACGTCAACAAGATGAGGCCATGACCCTCTCCTGCGGCGTGAGCATGACTTGGTCGATCTCCTCGACCATTGACGTCATGCCCTAGTTCCACTCCCAGGCGCAAGGATTTGCGAATGAGATCCCGCTGTCGGCCACGATGAACACTATCCTCCCGGATCTGCCGCTGAGCGAGTTCAAGCTCGGACTCGGGGTGCTGAAGCCGGACGAGAGGTTGCCCAAGAAGATGTACGCTGATGTCGTGGCCGTTGGCAAGGACGAGGACTGGGTCTTGAACCATTGGCTGCTCAAGGACGTGATCATGGAGCCAGTGCCGCCCAGCGTCAGGAACAGGTCCGTGACCGGGCGCGGAACACGACAGTCACCATCTCCAACACCGGCGGCGGCGCCAACATGAACCCATTCGCGAGTATGAACACGAAGCAGTTCACGAACGAGGGCGAGAAGCAGGGTCCGGGCGTCAACTTCCTCTAGGTCGTGTCATCATGATGAATGGGATGACGGGCGCCATGCGTTCTGGTTTTGAACTTGATCCTCGAGTTGCTCTTGGACTTCGTGCAGCAGCATCTGATGTTCGCGTTGAAAAGGAGAAGCTCACGCCTACGAATAAGCTACATCATGATGAACCCGTTCATGCGCATGCAGTGCGAGATGGTCGCCCAAGACCTCGCTCGATACCACGAAGCTGGTCACGATCGACACCGACATCAAAAACTCGTGCGCGGAGCTGACCATGGACATGCTCCAAGAATCTGCAGAGGATCGCGGAACCGATCACGTATCCGAACGTCCCTAGGTACATGACGATGATCGCGACCATGAGCTCGATCAAGTGCTTGTGCGTGGGGATCAGCCCCTACAAGAACGGGGTCCTGCCCACGTTCGCCGGCGTGATGTCGTACTCGCCTCTGACCTGCATCGGCTGCACGCCCTCGGTCCAGGTCCTGAGCCAGGTCATGTCGCTGGTGGCGGTCGTGATCGAGCAGGCGTTTATGCGCGAGAGCAGGAACACGGACACCATGATTTCGACCAGTACACGGCCAGGTTCGCGATGATGCTCAGGTGCTCGTACTCATGTCGTTAACGCCTCGCCCGTGATCACGTCCAACACCGCGACGAGGGTCAGAGCCGCGTCCATCTTCTCGAAGTGGGCCGGAGCACGGCCTCGGGCTTCAACCTGTTCGAGAACCAGATGCAGCCGACCGCGCCCAAGAACCCCTTCTTGTCTGTGATCAACGAGACGAACAGGGCCGGCGACGTGCGCACCAGCACGGGCCCGAACCTGAACGCGGAGTCATCGCAGGGCCCGCCTATGGTCACAAGGAGGAGCACAATCGGCCAGACGTGCTCAACAGCATCATCAGACCTTAAATGAGATACTGACCGGCTACAAGGACATCCAAAGCATCCTAAGCAAGCTCTTGATCAGGCAGGCGAAGACGTACGCACTGTTGCATTTGTAAAGGCCTTGCACCCATAGACCTTTAGATGTGCTTGCTGAGGCTTCCGATCCTCTACCACAACCCCTTCACTGTGCGCAATATAGGTATGAAATCTATCAATTGGAGCCTTCCAGTTGGCTTGATAATGAGGTGTCCGGTTGAATAGGTATACTGCTGCTCGTACAATCTCTGGCCATAGAAATGCAGGCAGTTTTGCACCTTCCCGCATGGCCCGAGCCTTGTCCTTTATTACACCCCCTGAGCGTTCTGCTCCTCCATTTTATGACTGTGTGTTGGGAGCAGAAGGCTCAACCTTAATGCCTTTAGAGCAAATAAATGCACAGACTTGAGGCTTTCGGGTAACGATCTCATTGTCGCATTCAATGATTCTCGGTGTGATGTTGTATTGATGCTTTAGAGTCCTAAATAGGTCCTCTGATGCCTTAATAATCATGTCTGAAGTCCGGTCCTGTAGATAGTAATCCCACACAAGCCCAGACCACCTGTCTGTAACCAGCATGAGGCTTCGAAAGTCTTGATATCCTTTCTCAAAGTCGTGAAAGTCAATCGCTAGTTGTAATCCAGGTCCTTCCTCGATATCTCTCGGAGTCCTCCTAACCTGCCGTTTCATTTTAGCAATTCCATAAGCATCACATTCCACCGTTGTTGGCCCACGGATTCTAGCACCTTTTGAAGCGTTGACTAGGTGCTCTATTGCTTGAGGACCTGGGTGCCCTAGGCGAAGGTGCCACCTTTAAGCATCTGCTAGCACTGAATTTCGAATTTAATAGGAAGGCCTAGTCGTGGTGAAACTTGCGTATCCTTCCGGCTGATATTCAATGACAAATTGATCATGTCGGTCCTCGAGGTAGGCAATTGGGATCCCTTCCTTTGTTCGAATGACATTCTGACCCAGCTGATTATCCCACCAAAGATTCATTTGGTGTAACTTCCTTAGTGACACCAGATTGCATACCATATTTGGGTAATAGGCAACATCATCGAGGAGTAGCACTGCTTGTCTCCCTCTTAGTGATGAGTTGACTGTAATGTTAACATTGCCATATCCCTGAATGGGAACTTTTGAGTCCCCTGCCCATATAAAGTCTCCTGGTGGTGCTGTTTAAAAACTTTCGAATCAGGATAGCTTATTGAAGATATGAATTATGGTCCCTGAATCAAGGATTGCAGAGTTATTTAATGGGTATGTTGATGGAAGCAAGGCAAAAGAAGCTGGCATTCTTCCAACCTCTCGTACTAGTCACTCGTCTTGATTGTATGCCTTCTTCTCCTCTTCCACCTGTTTTGCAAAGCTTTGATCATCCTTCAAGGATAGATTTACTAGCCTTCTAATAGCAGGACGCTCCTTGAATCCTTCTGAGGCCTTATTAGGAAATAAATAGAAGCATTCCTTCCAATCATGAAGTTGTCCACAAGCTCGGCAGGACCTTGTTAGTCTTAATGATCCCGGGTCATTCCTTTTGAACTCCTGCAGTGATCCATGATCTTCAGTACTCCGCTTTCGCTTTTAGGACCTCCTTGTTGGTGCGGGTGCCTTATCTTCATCACTATCTCTGCCATAAGCTCCAGAGATAGAGGCATTACTACCTTTGCCATAAGCTCCAAAGGTAGGACTGAATGATCCCTTAGCAATTTTACTTTGGGAGGTTCCCATTTAATTCATGCTATCACGGAAGTCCTGCGCAACTAATCTAAAGGATAAACTTCCTTCTTGAATGTCCTGCTTCTTATTTATCCAATAAGATTCTACCTAATGAGGGTTCAAAGGTCATACAGCGGTTAGAAAGTCTTTAATCTAATCACCTAGAGAATTAGCAACTGCAATCTTTGCTTTCATGGCTTTCTGTATAGCCAATTCCCAATTGTTTATCCAAGCATGGATATCCTTTGATCATGGAGTCTTGATGGCCTTCTGGTAGGCCTCTCAAGCCAGTTCCTTGACTCTAAACTCATCAATCCCAACGTTCTTCTTTAGATTGTCATACCAATCCTTTAAAGATTCAGATGGAATGCAGCAGAATTCATAGACCTATGGTGATACAGTCTTCTGAATCCACTCCCTAATCTTGTTCAACTCCACTTTCTGTTTATTATTTTCCTCCAAATTGACTCGATAGATTGTCCAAGCCAGTTGATGCTCTGCCTGGGATAGTTGGGGTCCTGTGGAGGTACTCCGGGTGCTGTTGGCGGGTGGAGGAAGATAATCCGCCGCATTGGGCATTCCAGGCTTTGATAACTCTGCTCCATCGCCAGTAATGATATCCCAAATATCCTTGCCTCTAGCTAGACCTTCAAATTGGGTCTGCCACTGCATCCAGTCCTCCTGGGTGTTGAGTCGTATGGTTATATCTTGGGCGGTTGTCATGTTAAAGAGGGATTCGGATTACGGTAGGGCAAATCGTTTTATAGGTAGGATTTGGATTGAGTAATGATAGTAATAATAGATATAGAGATAGACAGGTATCTTTTAGAGCGAATGAGACTCTTAATTGTTAGAATTACTGTGGTAATCCTTTTTTGGATGGGATCATTCTGTGTATTCGTATCTCACACAAGAGGTTGTATCTTGTATGTGTGTGCCTAACCGCTCCTTTGGGAGCGAAGGCACTATATCTGCAGCTTCGCTAGAATATTTCACATGATGTCCTAATATGGACTAGCTCATTTTGACAGTTGTCCTTGGGGAAAGTTAGATCGCCCGACACAGCGCTTGCCTTCCTTTGCAGCCACCACCCGCTCCTCCAGGGTGGCTGGTTGAGGACAATAGCCACAGCAGTCACTCATAACATCCACCACGCTGCCGAAGAAAGCGGGATGGCGGTGCAGGTTTACCCCACGGCCTTCTGGTCGGTTCCATTCCGTATTGAGGAGCTGATCTTGATTATAGAGACATTTTTCAATCTTCTTGGCATTGAACTCGATGCCGTACGGGATTGTCTAAACTTCGATTAGTGTCATTGAATCTGCGCAACCATCAGGAGACACACGCAGGTGTGGTATTCTGACGCTTCATCCTCTTCGACGCAATCTGCGATCTCATCGTTGTGATCATCTTTCAGACACTCCTCCAGAGGCGTTGCGGAAATGTAGTTGTTGGGTCGACCCCGTCCCTGGCGTCTTTTACGCAAATATGCTTGCCGATCGGAGGGCTTCGGCAGTTTCTCCAGGACCAGCAAACGAGCTAGGCCAAACGTTCGTGCGAAGTTTCGTTCAAAGATCATCTATGTTTGAATTAGTGGGAGATAGCAGACAAAAGGGCGATTGCTCGTACTGGGTCGACCCGGGAACGGTCAAGGTCTGGCCAAAATATTTCGAAGCCCCTACGGGAGTACTTTGACAGGCGGCTTTCATAGGATGGCGAGCGTCTTGACAGATCTATATTGTTAATCTGGGTGATGTAGGCTCCGACTGCTCGCGGAGCGAGGTACACCTGACGCCCGTTGTATGCTGTACATGAACAATCAACATCGAATCCTGTCAGGATTTCTGCAACAGATCTATAGAGACGAAGCACTAATAGTAATGGCATGTTTGGTCCGAACGGTAGTTGTCTCCGGTAAAATTGAGCTCCTGACGGATGCTTTAATTTGCTTAATCTTCTCCATTGCCTGCTCCTCAGATAGACCGTAAAGAAAAAGATCGACGTCGGACGCAGGTGCAAACTTTTCATGGTAGAATTGACGAAGACCGCGCTTTGAATGAGCGTACTTTTCTGGAATCGGTAGCAGTGAGGTAGCTACCGCACTCCCTGCGGCGACAACGTTATTCCAGTCGAGATTGCTGAGGGAGCCCTCGCAGAAGATCGAGAAATTTGTTTGGAACTCCTTGAGGCTAGCGACCACCGCGGGGGAGCCATCCGGTCTGCGGTCCTCATCTTTAAGGACCATCATATACTTAGACTTAATCTCTTGTGATTCTGCTGAAAGGTCACGAGCGCGGACTTTCAGGTTCACGGAGCCGCTAGCGTCAAACAGTGGCACAATGTTCATGAAATTGTCCTTGGTGGCCGGATGGCCTGGCAGCTGGGCGAAAGTCCTGCGCATCATGGCATCATAGTCGTTGTAAGGCCCCATCAGATCTGAAATCGGTTTGTTGGGCCGGGATTGGATGTATGGGACGAAGTCCGCGTGCCTGGCAGGAACCGGTGGAAGGACGTGTTCTTGGGTCATGGTGCCCTCGGTTGATAGAGGAAGTGGCGCGAGTTAACGGTGGATTTATCTGTGGCAATGTCAGCTTTAGAAAGCTGGAGCTAATCCGAATGACTTGGGAAAATATATCGGTCTTAAATACTGTCTGGAGACAGATCATTGCGATTGGCAGAGATTTATTCAAATTCAATCGAGAAAAGCACTTGAGGCACCAACGATGTCGCCAACTATGCAGATTGGAGCCTCCAACAAAGCCCTGGCTAGCAACTGAGTTGCTAGACGATGGACGACCGGAATATCTCCACGCGGCTGTTGCCTATCGGCGAAGCGTTCGTTTACGGGCAGATTTCATTGGCTCTGAAGGATTATCGATGAATACATGGAAGAGCCGACCGAAGACGGGTGCCTTTGAAAAAAGGTTGCATGCGATACACGGTCATTTATACGTCTCACATCTTGAGAATCTGCTTCAAAGTCAGCAATATGATTGCGCTTATGAAGCTATCCACGGCTGGGAGGTCTCCATGAATCCTTCCTTGATGGAATTGAGGATCATTCCGAGCAAGTCCATTGCTCTGTCTAAAGTCTATCGATGCCAAGGGCAACTAAGGGAAGCAGAAGAGGTACTTCAGAGTTGCCACAATACCCTGCTTGCAGGTGATGTAGCTCGCGATCAGGTCCTCTGCGGTCTGGCAGATACACACTGCGACTTGGGGGAACCGCGACACGCTAGTTTTCTCCTACAAGCCGAAATACAAGAATTCTCTAGGAGAGGGAAGCCGACCAGAGCCTTCCGCCGACTTCTCGTGTCATCGCTTGATTTCAAGATACTGCAAGGTCGGTATGAAGATCATTGGACCTATACATACATTACATAATAAAAGGCTTAGATTCTGTTCCTTCAGCCGCGTCAAAGCCAATGTACTCCATCTCTTCATCCTCTGACCTTTCGATATCGACCCACGCGTGCTGGTAAATAGGAGATCTAACAAGCCATCGCCCGATTCCGGAAAGCCCTGCACGGGCTCACCCGGTTCTACATAGCCCTCCATATTGTTCTTGCCATCATCGCCAGGCCGCGACATGGTGGTGCATCGCCCGGGCCAGTCTATGATCACCACAAGCACAAGCTTGACGCCATTATCGGGCAAAACGGAAGGGCTCGCGAAACTCAGACTTGTTACCGTTGCCATAGGGGGGAGTCGAAAGGTGATAACTGTCTTACGTAGCACGCCGCCAGCGCCATCTTTCTTTCCGTCCCTGACGATATCACAGTACGGAATTGCATTACGAGAGGCTGAAAATTTTATCCAAGAGGTAAATAAGCCTCGCGTGCGCAATTAATGCCATGGAAATCCTGTAGCGTCAGACAATCGACGTACTGTATGCAGCAGAACTTCCGTCGCAAGGGTTTGTTGCGACACTTAGTGTTTAATCTTATTCGGCTATGCCACCAGATCAGGGACCAATCATATGAATTAGCTTACGTGTAGCCCAATATCGCTACAACAGTAACATACATACGAAAATGTGGCTAAGTGTGGTAATCCGCAAGTGCAGGTATCATGTGCGGGATCAGCAGATATCAACGAGGAGAAACAAACAGTGTAAACAGGACTGCTATCTCCACGTGACCTTCCTTATCATGCCTCCCGACTCCTATTCCGCCGAGCCGTCACATATATAGAGATGGAAGGGACAGAATGTGGTTAGAGCCTAATGTAAACGTGACCAGAGAGGGATTACCGCGAGTAACTGAGCTGGCAAGGTGTCGGATATGGAGGTGCAGCAAGAAGGATCATTGGATATGCGGCCGGGATAACTGCTGTCGATGCGGTGCTGGCATAGCGGGGCCATCGTGGGCAAAAGGTCACCATTAGGAGGAGGTGCAGGAGGGGTAAAGACGGGTAATATACCGCAATATGCTTCCATCAGCAAAAGAAGGACCACTCATATGGGAAGGAGTAGGTTGCGATAGACAACGTTGAGCGTTGGTTCGTCTTGCTCCCAAGGGTTCCGGAGGATGCGGATGTCAGCTCCACGCCGGACGCGAGAGAGGCTGGTGTACAGCTGGCCATGTGCAAATACTGGCATGGTGAGGTCGAGCATGACGCGGTCCAGTGTCAGGCCCTGACAACTGTTGAAAGTGGTGGCGTATGCCAGCCGGAGTGGGAACTGGCGACGCTGGACGGTCCAATTCGCATGATGCGGTCGGAATTCAAAGGTGATGCGAGGGAGGCAGAAGATCTGCGTCTCCTCACCGGTAGTTTGAGATGTCAGTAACTGATTATGTTGCAAGAGACGCACCTGGACGACATTAATAAGTAAGTTGACTACCTGCACCCTCACATTCTTGACCAGGCCCTTTTCAATGGATAGGTTCCGCATGATGCTCGTGATGCAGCCGACTTTAAGAGAAATGTTATGTGGAGGGACGCCAGGCTCATGTAACATGGCAAGAAGATCAGCTTCTGCACCGGTCGGTAGGTGGAAGCTGGACTCGTCCATTCCTTAATCGTATCATGACTGTAGTAAGCGGCTTCGTTGTAGTTAGTATACTAATCAGACATCAGCAGAGAGGGAGGGTTTACTGGCAGGCGCTGACAGGGAGTCCAGCAGCAGTTGGTTGAACACATCTACCCGCGCGTTGAAGGGGCTCAGGAATGCTCGGCAGACAGCATCAGGGAAGGTAGCAAGGGAGTCATCAAGAAATAGGAATCTTGCAGCACCGTCCATAATTTCAAGATGCTGCAGATGTCGCACTAGCACAGTAGCCTCAAATGGCGCCACGCCATCACCGAGCTGGTCCACCCAGGTGGCGTAAGCCATATGCCCTGCATACCGGATCGGAATGGTCAGACGCAGGATGTCGAAGTGGTCCCAGAGATATGAGGAGTGAATAGAGTTGTTTAGCGTGGCAGATGGGCCAGAGCTGCCACGGATGACAGGTGCCACTTGGCGGAAGTCACCCAGTCTAACAAAGGTCTTTCCACCAAAGGGAAGCTGGTTATCCATAATGTGTTGGAGTAGCTGGTTTGCGCACTCCAGCACAGCCTTTTTCGCCATTGGTAGCTCTTCTCAGATGATCAGTTGAGTACGACAGAGTAGTTCTGCACGCGCACCATATGGACTAATCTTTGATTCTAAACCCTCGTCACTGTCCTGCACAGGAATACCGAAGGCAGAGTGGGCAGTCCTACCGCGCTCATAATGGATGACACTGAGCGCAGTCGTGCCTGTGACACAGACAACGCCACCATCGCCACGGACTTGGTCACAGAGGGCAGCCATCAGAAAGGTCTTGGCCCGCCCAGTGCGGCCGTTGACAAAGCAGCAGGCTGCACCATGTCGATCCTCCTGGCCCAGGATGCGCTCAAAGATGCGTCGCTGGTCACTGTTCATCCTCGCACGGGCCGCATCAACCCGGGCACGGAGCGCTGCCTGGTGTGGATGGAAGAAGTTAAGCTCCAGGTCCACCTCAGTGTCATGGTGGTGGCGTTATGGCTCTGGTAAGCCGCATTGGGCCAGGGAGGAGCCTTGCGAGGAGAGGTAGCGGGCGATATCCTCCAGGGCCAGATTAGTGGCGTCGTCCGTATGATGGTGGAGTGCGTAGTCTGCGCAGAGTTCACGCTGGAACCGTGTCCAAATTTGGATTGCGGGGAATGGAAGGTCCAGTAGAAGATACGCAAAGAAGAAGCGGAGCTGTGAGGGGCGGCTGTACGCAGCAATTGCCTCACTAATGGCGTATTCAGCCTCGCTAACGTTGTGGAACAGGCCCAGGGCGGTGGCCGCTTCGTGGTAGGTTTTATGGCAGTGGCCATGGACAGTACGAAGATCTTGGAAGCTTGATGCAGGGCGCACCTGTAGCAGCGCTTGTAGATAGAACTGCTCCTTGTAGCGTAACTGGATGGTCTGTATGCGGGTGACAATATCACCAGTTGCACGTCACCGTAAGACCTTCTGGTGCAGTCCTTGGCTTGTCTCCACATGGGTGATCAGGACCTGACCTCTATCAAGTGGGTTGTCTAATGGTAAGGTCTTGAAGTAGTAGCGGCTGAAGAATTCCATATATGTCAGCTGCTGGAACGGCTCTGTAGGCGGACGCTGGAAGTACCATAACAGATCACTTATTGTGAAGAATCCTGGCGCAGTTGGACGGCGCATCCTGGTGAGGTTACGTCCTTCTAGGTGGACTGGGAGGCAGCGGACACTCGGCTTCTTATGTACTGTTTTAAAGTTAAAGATTTGGTACACTGCCTCAGAGGCAGACAGATACCGTGCGCTCACGTAGTCCTTATACTCATTGACAGTGTCTTCTTCATCCCCAGGGTCCACTATGTTGTGAAGACTGAACCTGGTGTGATCAGGGCCCTTGAAGAAGTATTTAAACAGATAGAGGAAGATGACCGCCGTCGAGCAGACGTCTACATAGATGTGGCAGTCCAGCAGCTTCAGCAGTGCGGGTATATGCGGTGTCACCCAGCAGCTTTCAGTGTTACGGCGCCGGTAGTGCACGCGACCCAGGTCATCCAGATGCGTGTGGGGGTTGATGGGCTGCGGGTAGCCGTAGATACATCGGCCGTTGCGGTTACAGCGCGACCCTGGATGGGTCAGGTGGTTCTGCGAGTGCATGTGGAAGCACCTAACCTGATGGTAGAGATCTGGTTCCTGGTCTGCATCCGGCAGCTCCGCGGAAACAAAGATGTCGAGCGCTGACAACGGTGGCTCCTGCTTGAACTTCACCACGATGTGGGCCTGTGGCAGGCCTCGCTTCTGGAACTCGACAACGCTGATCTCATATACCAACCCCCTAAATCCCTTACGCAGGAACGCCTTCAGGACCCCCAGTCGCGCGCGGAAGGCGCGGCAGACAACAGCTGGGACATCAGTAACGTCCTGGCCCGGTAGGAGCTGCGATTGGATCTCTGACCACTGCGGGTTGGTCGTCATAGTTAACCAGATGGACGGCTTTCCCAACTTTCTGGTGATCGCCAGTGAGTCAGTCACCTGGTCGGAGGCCC